TTAACATGTTTCAACCTTATCTGTAGTCATACAATAGTTTTTCATGACATTGCATGAATGTATATGCAACCGACAAGAAAAAAACAGGGAGCATGCGTAATGAAGATTTACCGACAAGAAATTGAGAACGAGCTGTAGTGTAGATGTAGAACATGTATATAATCTTTTTTTGTAATTGTATATAAATATTAAGACTTTAAACTTTCATATTTTAATGCATATAAGAAAAAATATTTGTGTTTATTCCATTTAGTTTTAAAATATATTTTAACAAATCGATTAATTTACCGACAAGAAAAAAAACAGGGATCATGCGTAATGAAGATTTACCGACAAGAAATTGAGAACGAGCTGTAGTGTAGATGTAGAACATGTATATAATCTTTTTTTGTAATTAAATAACTTTTAAGACTTTAAACTTTCATATTTTAATGCATATAAGAAAAAATATTTGTGTTTATTCCATTTAGTTTTAAAATATATTTTAACAAATCGATTACCGACAAGAAAAAAACAGGGATCATGCGTAATGAAGATTTACCGACAAGAAATTGAGAACGAGCTGTAGTGTCGATGTAGAACATGTTTATAATCTTTTTTTGTAATTAAATAACTTTAAACTTTCATATTTTAATGCATATAAGAAAAAAATATTTGTGTTTATTCCATTTAGTTTTAAAATATATTTTAACCAATCGATTACCGACAAGACAAAAACAGGGATCATGCGTAATGAAGATTTACCGACAAGAAATTGAGAACGAGCTGTAATATAGAAAGAACATGTATATAATCTTTCTTTTGTACATTTTTTCAGTTTTTGAAGAAAATGATGATGACTTAATTCTCACCACTGAGAAGAAAAGACGGACATCATGACGTACAAAGATGTGATGTTATGCATTATACGCTTGTATTTGTTTAATGAAAAAAAACATTGAAACCTATTTCGACCACAGGTCTCATCAGGTTGTGGTTCATTTCTCCACTAGAAGTAAAAGAAATAAACAGAGATATCCCCACTATAGGTTTTAATATTTTATTATCATAAAACTTACGGGCAGTTACGCCACGCCAGAGGTTGCAGAAATTTTTAATTTTTTTTTTAATTTAAAATTATTTACATAAGTTACAGCACTGAAAATGTATTGAAGCTTAAATTGATAATGTTTGGTAAAGATATGCCAATTATTGTGTATTATATATATGTATTCATATGCTTTTTAAGTAATTTCGTATCTCAAATTAAACATTCTCACATCACATAAACCATTATTTTATAGTCAAGTATATATTTTTTTATAATATAATCCATGTCATGTGTCATTTATGTATTATATGTTGTATTTGTATATTTAATATGGTGATAAGCTTTTTATGCTTAAACCAAATAATAAAGTTTCTGTTCTGTTCTGTTCATTGTACGAATTATCTCTTCTTTCACAGCTGTTCATTTCGAAATTGTTTTCGCACCTTTTCACCCTTAAAGTTTTCACAGCTTTGATAAAATTAAATCGCTCAAAGCTAACTGAGTGAGAAACACACGCGCACAAGCTTTAATTGAGTAATATCAATCAATTTTGTTTGAGCAATCAATTTTGAAATTTGTACTTGAAAAAACGAAAAAAAAATTTTTTGGCCCTGAATATGTTATATGTATATATGCTAATAAAATAATTGAATTGAATTTATGTTTTCGTCCATTATTTTATTTTATTTCTATATCCTTATTGTATGCTTTACCGATGTATTTGTGTAAAAATTGTAAATGGATTATAATTGGATAATTTAAATGGCAGGTATGTAAAACTTTATATATGAAATATATTTTGATACAGTTATGAAATACTATTATTTTAAACAACTATAACTGATCACTTTCATTAAATATGTTATATCTTGCCTATACATAATGCCTCTTTAAAGAAAACATGATCATGAAGCATGATAAATATTTCTTGTCGGTACTGTAGGCATGAAAACATTTCTTGTCGGTAGACATGAACACATTTCTTGTCGGTACAGAAATATTGCCTAAATGCAGGATATTTTGTAATCAATGACAACGAAATGTTTTAAAATTATTTATTGAATAGATAGGCTGACAATAAATTATTTGAACACATTTAAAAACCTACGCCATTGATAGCAATAATGAAACTTTCTTGTCGGTATCCGCGAATATTCTCATATCATCATTCATTAATGATGATATTCTTAATTGAATTAGAAAACATTTAACATCATAATTATCATTTATAATACAACATAATCTTAATAAAAATAATTATGATTTAACACTTATACACAAATTCTTAATGTAATATCAATGATACGAAGATGGCCGAGTTCTTGACGGTGAGAAACTGAGACTGACTTCTTGTCGGTATAGATATTTGCCATGGTTCACAACGAATTTATTATGTTTTTAATGTAAAAAATATTAGGAATTGTTATTTTTAAATGATGAATAAGTGAAATTAATTCGTATTTTCCTATTTTTACTTCTTGTCGGTTCTTGTCGGTTCCTGACGGTTCTTGTCGGTAATTAGGGAGACCGCCGAATGACACCTTAAAACGAAAAATGTAAAAGTTATACCCTATTCTGGTTCCCGGCATCTAACAAGTATTTGCGTAGCGAAAGGGGAAGGAACTCCAGATAAGTTATACCCTAGTTTGGATCAAAGAAAAATTATGTACTAGTATTAGATTGCTCTGTTTTAACTTTGCATAATGAATAACAAATTACTTGATTTTGAGTTATCTGCTAGCTCTTGAAAATAGTCTAAAAGGAGCACTCACTCACTCACCAACTCACTCACCAACTCACCATCTCACTCACTCACTCCCTCACCAACTCACTCACTCACTCACTCACTCACTCACTCACTCACTCACTCACTCACTCACTCACTCACTCACTCACTCACTCACTCACTCACTCACTCACTCACTCACTCACCATTTTTCTTTCTTTCTTTCTGTCTAGAAAAGAGTTGTTTAAAAATAGCTAGGGGACTGGAAAACATGTTCAATGCAAGGTATGGCTGCACCGAACTGTTCTGGGGTAGGGAGTAACTATAGGGTAACTGTAGGGGGTAGGTGGTTCCAGTGGTATACCGTTCTAGGAAAGAAGGAGAATATAGTAATTTAGTCTTAAGTTGCTGTGAATAACCTGTAACACAGAGTAGGGCCATGGCGTGCTGTTTGGGTGAAAAGTGTTACATATTCTTCTTTGGGGATAGCAACCAGACCATGGTGAATCTTATAGAAAAGGAATAACCTAGCATTTATATGCCTGGCCACGTGTTCACTAAGAAAAGATCAGGATCAAGTGATCCTGATTTATTTTCATTGTTTTATGTTACTAAAATTAATCGTGTTTTGCTAGAATTAAGTATGTAAAAATTGCTGATTTGCAAAAAAAAATATTTTGGGATAAAATCATCAAATAACAAAACAAATACAAAAAAATATTCGGATTAAAATAAAAATCAATTTTAGTATCAAGATCAATATTTCGATCAACTGTAAATTGCCCTTATATAAAATAACAATATTTTTTAATATAAAATTTCATAAACATGCTTTTTCAAGTCCAGTTTTAGAAAATTAATCTATGAGGATAAACAATATGGGAATATTTGAGTTTTTCAAATTTGATCCTGATTATGATCCTGATTCATAAATCTTTGTCAACACGGGGCCTGAGTTCCAGTTTTTGAAGCTTAAGGGAGTACGCATATCCGTGCCGCTTGAGGTCTGACCATAATCTAGCTGGATCCATCAAAAACACATGTTCTACGTTGGCTGTGGTCGTAAGAATCTTTTGTGATTTTTTTTATATACTTTGGTCTTGCGTGGATGATTTTAATAAGATTAAAAGTTACCGTCCATAAACAGGCTCAATCAAACCGAGCCTGCAACATTTTCAATTTTGCCGTGTTGGGCTTTCTTTAGGGATTCTGTATTTATCTATTTTTCGATATATTGGTGCGATAAAGAGTAATCACTCTGAACAAAGTGTTACAAAATATAGATAGATATAGCTGACACTTTTCCCTTTTCTGGGGTGATCAATTGGAAATTTGGTTGAGTTGCTTCTTATTGGCTGCATACATGTACATGTAATAATTCTGCAATTAATACAAAACCCATTGAAATATACAAGTCACTTAAACTATTTATATAGAGGCATTTAATAATTTTAATCTGTAACAATACTAGCTAATGAGGAGATGTATATGGTTTTGTAGTTTAAGTATGGTTTGAAAATAAGATTTAAAATACAATTAACGTACGTACAAAATGTACGTATGTTTTTTCATGTTTCTATCTCTGATATGATTATCTGACTCTGTAACACAAAATATGTTGCTACAGTATATATTACTCACTAAGAAATTTTGCTGCTACATGTTCAAATGCTTCAATATTGGACTAAAGATCTTTCAAATCCCAGCTACAATCACGGATTTATATTACATATATTTGTAATATAAATACGTGCTTCAATATAAGAAATTTTGAAATTTTAAATGCCAAGATAAAAAAATGTATTTTATATTTAATTTTTAGGCTATTTATAGAAATAAATCTCAAGGGCTTTCTTCTGTCACAATACAGAAACATGAATAAAATGAAAAAAATATATATATATTTACACCATGGTATTGTGGTCACTGGTATTGAAAATGTCGCAATCTTGGTCTGATTTAGGCCTGTATATGATCAACAGTGGTCATGTTAAGGTAAATGTCTACTGTACACTTTTAAACCTGGATAAAGCAGAACTTAAACTTTATAACACGGAATAATTGATCACAGCCCTCATTTAGACTATTAGACTGAAGAAAAGAATTATTAACATATATACGACTTCGCACTAAAATTCAAGTTTTTTAATTGTTTTGACTTAACTTTTCGTTTTATGCCCTCAGTTCGTATTTTATGGAAAGGTTACCGGCTCATATATTCCGCTTTATGTTAAAGCAGGAAAACAGTGATTTGTGTCGTCAGTGGCAATAAGGTAAATAACAATGGCGGATGCCAGTCTCAATTAGTCTGAACACATTTTTTTTTCGCTGCCTGTACTCTGTGTAAAGTAAAAGTCGTTTGATTTTATACTTAATTTTCTCATATATAATTCCAATTATTTCTACTGTATTTTTGTTGTCATTGACACCAGTTTAAATGTCTCATATTATTCGGGCACCTTGTTTTTGATAATTGTATACTGGTGCCTCATATTTCCGAGGTACTTAACTGTTTAACACAGACAACAAAAGTTAAAAGGAAATATGAGGCTTATTAAATAACTCTAACATTTGTCCACCAAATTTCAAATTCTTGGTACCAAAATGGTAGGTAATTACTCTTAAAGGCAATAAAGCTGTCATTACAATGATTTCAAGTAATAAGTAAATATTCAGTCTCAAAGACACTAAAAGTAAGAAATAACAGATCAAGATGTGACCACTGGGTTTTTGTGAAAATTATCAGTTGCACCAGAGACATAGATAACTATCTATGTCTCTGGTTGCACCAAGTAACTTGATAATAATTTGATGACATTGTGAGAAAATCACTGGTACCGAAACATTAAAGTTAAGGTGCCTACCTCTTAATTAACCCATTACTTTATATACACGCCTTTTAACGCCTTTTTCACCCCCCTTTTTGTTGTCTCAAATAGTGAAAAAATGCATTATTTAGGCCCTTAACACTTGTTTTTGTTTGAGAAATGTTGTTAAAAAAAGTGACCAGTTTTTCGGCGCGGCCCCCCAACCAAAAGACACATCAGGGGGTTGCCAGAAGGGGGATGTGCCCCCTTCTGTTTGGGGGGTTTGAAGGGGGGCTGAGTCCCTCTCATCGCCAAGAAAATTTTGGACTTGTGAGAGGCTATAAATGACCCCAGATTGATCATAAGGTAACGTGTAACCAACGCTGAAAAGCATTTGACTCTATCTCAATCCATTGAGAAGTTGCAGCACTTTGAAATCAATTATGATGGAAAAAATCAACGCAAAATAGTGATTTTTGGCAATTTTGAGATGTCCCCTCGTTGCCATGGTAACAGAAAATTTAAGCCTGAGCATGTTGTTGCAAGGACAATGGTCCAGTCAACATTTGTGCCAAGTTTGATTAGTGTTGAAGCAGTTTTTATAGTATTATAGCAATTTGAACTTGTAACGGGAGACTTTTCAATGAAAACAGCCATTTTTCACAAAATGCTCATGAAGTAATGGGTTAAAGTGTCCTGAGTTTGATTCTAACAATGGTCAGAACTGTATGTCCTTATAACACAAGCCTTTGTACATAAAGGATGTTTAATAATTCTTGAGGGATATTTGGTCTAGCTTGTCAATATATCAATCAAACTGTTCCTTTGTTAATTAAACTTGCTCCTAAAAGTTTTTTAGCAATGATGAAAAATTTGAATTCTTTATACAATTTTTTAGGGCACCAACATGGACCGAGAAAGTAAGGATGGGAAAAAGAAGGGGAAGAGAAACAAGGTTGGCCTTGTCAATGATAGTTTTGAACTAGAACCTGCATCTAATTCTGTTAGAAACAAAGTGAGGTGTGTAATTTTTTATGAATATGAGATACTTTTATTTGATGATTAGGTGTACAAGAAATTAATTTTTATAACGTAAATTTACTTTTGAATTAAGTGTTCTGTTGTAACTTTTTAAAAACAAAGTAGTGCAGATGAAAACATACATGTATCATTGTATGAATAAGAATTTTATCAAGCTTTTGTTTAATATACCTTAGGAATTCTGTTAAAATAATGGATACTTTATTGAAATGTAGGACATGTATGACAGCTTATATTCAAATTTCATGTATTATTATTTTATCAATTCCCTGTTGACACAAATGGCAGCAGTGGATAAAATTACAAGAGTGATGCAAATAAAACAATTTAAGATAAAATAATCATCTGTTTTTCCCATTGCTGTGTGTTGGTGTAGTACACACCTGTGACCATCTTTTATAATTCTTTTGAGTTTTATAATACACCTAAACTGTCCGTTAATAGGACATTTGTATATGCGATTTGCTATCATGATAATAAAATCAATAAGTGAGAAGTAAATTTAGTCTGTTCTGGCTTGGTGGTAATCCAGTCTGGCTTTGGACATTACTTAATGTGTCATACACTTCTCACTAAAGCTGGTATTGCACAGAGAGTTTAGTAGAAAAACCGTCCTCAATTAAATGTCATGCTAAGTTTCAAAAGCAACTAGGGAATCTTATAAAGATTTCAAATATTTAACTGAATAAGTGTTTATAATTCAAATATTATTTCTAAAAAACAACATTATTTGTAATTTCAGTCCATTTCTAAACAACATTAGAGATGTACAATCTAAAAACAATAATACAAGGTCCAAAGCTTTACAAAACCTTATTGATGTAAGGATAACTGCCTCAAAATGGAGAGACTTTGTTAATAGAAAAAGAAAAAGGAAAAAGAACAGTAAGTGCATATAATGTATTCATCTTTATCTATCTGACAATAGGGACTTGTTACTTTAATATCTTTATTAACGGTTTTAAACTTCTACCATTTTGTTCATTAACACATTTAGATTCCACCTAATTAATGTCTTATTTATTTGTATCTATAGTGTAAAGGTATTTGGTATTGGTATTTTGGTTACTATCATAATGGATGAGCATTATAATGTTATGGGAAAAAATGATTGAAAAGATTTAAGTGAATGTAGGATGATGTTTTAACTAAATGATAAATCTTCATATAAATTATGTAGGGGAGACAATCTAGATTGACATTATGATCAGAGGTTAACTAAGATTTCGACTAATTTAGCTGAAAGCCCATTACTTCATAGGCATACTTTTTCATTTGTAATAAGGTCTATTAAATATACTTAAAAAATTTATATATATATATGGCTCTAAATTAAATCTTTTTTGCATCAATGTATATTAAATTTTAATCAAGTATTTTTTTTGGTCATTACTTAGGGAATATGATATTTAAAGCTTATATTTTGATTTTTTTTGGATTGGAATTGGGACAAAAATGTGTATTTTAGATAGGGAAGGCCCAATAACAAGACCCCCCCTCCCCCCCCCCCCCCCCCAAAAAAAAAAGAAGGAAAAAATTGATGAGTGCAGACTACAATCAGTTAGTACATAGATCTGATGATCATGTGCCATCTGATCATATTCTGCACTTTTTGCTATTTTGTCTATACAAATTTTAAAATTTCCCCTTAGAATGGTGAATTGTTCAGATTGAAAGATGAACACTTTGTTCATTTAAGATAGTTTAAGGGTGTTTAGCAATAATTTCAAGGACTTGAATCTTCAGGTTTCATAATGATTCAGTTTTATAGTCAGACCTATTTTAAATATTGGTGTGCTTTTTATCTTATCAACTTATGAATTTTATGGTACTTACAATGTATAATGATCTGAAATCATCTATGAAGTAATGGGTTTAAAAAATAATGAGAAGAGTTATTAAGGTGTATATGATTTGTTTAACTTTATATAGATGCAATTAAAAGTTGTGTAAGAGTGATAGCGAAAGGTAAATTGTTGACACATTGAGTGGCATCCTCATTGTTATGTCTCTCTATTTTCTTATCTTTAATGATGCTATTCTTTACTATATAGAAGTGAACACAGGAGGTAAATGGTTCTATCTTTAAGCACCTATGGCATTTTTTAGCATATTTTTATAAATTTGAGCCGCTCCATGACAAAACCAACATAGTGCGTTTGCAACCAGCATGGATCCAGACCAGCCTGCACATCCACACAGTCTGATCAGGATCCATGCTGTTCGCTTACAAACCCAGCTATTACAAGTAGAGAAACTGATAGCGAACAGCATGGATCCTGGTCAGACTGTGGAGATGCGCAGGCTGGTCTGCATCCATGCTGGTCACAAACACACTATGTTGGTTTTGTCATGGTATTGGCTCATTTTATTTTATGTTATTAAAGAATTTTGTTTTGTTCATATTCCTCACCTTATGCATGTACACTTCACATAGGACGAGAATTTGATTTGGAAAATCTATGTTGTAAGTGTTTCGTAACCATAGAAACAACTGCTTAAAAATAGAACAAGTAGAGAGCAAATTTATAAAAAAATATATAAAATAATGCTTTGCATGTTTGATAAGTTAATAACATAATTTTTGTATATGAAATGTTAGTCAGCTTTTATTTTTAGATTGTTCAGGTTTAATTTGAACTGTCCAATGTTCTTGGTTTAATTTTTCTTTTAATCTCCCATGCATAGTAGATTTTTTTTTTCAGAAATTCTGTTATCATTGTAAATGTTGAATCATCCTTTTTTACCCAATTATGAAGATTTTGCAACACTGTCATAGCTTGATTGATTATGACACAGTTTGTATAATAAGGATTTTCAGTTCATCTTTCCATGAAAAAAAAGCCTGAATATTTATAAATAAATGATATTTCAGCATATTATTAATTATTAAAGATTATTCAGTATAATTAGTATTAACATACCTAAATATAATGCTAATTTAGCATAATTATGATAGACATTATCTAAATACAATGCTAATTTAGCATAATTATCATAGACAAATATAATTCTAATTCAGCAGAATTAGTTTTAACACATCTAAATATAATGCTAATTTAGCATAATATTTAATCTTAGACCTACCTAAATATAATGTTAATTAAAATTAGCATTAACATACCTAAAGGTAATGTTAATTGAGCAAAAGTAATAACTACAAAACATTTCTTTTTTATTTACTGCATAGTGATGTGAATAGGCCAGGCCAAGAAATTTCTGACTTAAAATTGCTAAGTCAATTAAAGTCTGCATTAATTTTACCTCAACATGACATGGGGCTCTATAATTCTGTTAACAGATCTGTTATTTACCAATTAGATGCTATAAGATGCTATAATATAACTTGCATGATAATAAACACTAACACTATATTTGCATGATAGATCATTAATATTGCTCTATACACCACATAGTATTACTTGTTCTTTTTTAGGACATATTTTTTACTTAAAAAAGTAAATCTTCAATTCTAAGTGGTATTGTAACCTAAAGCAACATATAAATGTTTGTCTGTGAAAGGAAATAATTGATATTTAATGTTTCTCAGTGAAAATTATCTTATTATCAAATATTTGGAATTATTACCATAGAATGTTTTACCATAGAATCAAAAGTCTATTTCTATTACTGTTTCTTTACTGTTCACGGGACAATGGGAAAAATTACAGTGCACAATTCATTTTGCTTAATGGATATTTTTGCAGTTAGATCACAGTAGCATTAGCATGTCATCCCATTAAAATTCATTTTTCAATTATACAATATACATGTATATAGAAATTATGTATCAAGCATGATCTATTAAAATTATAGTTATTCATTTTGTTAAAATATAGTAAAGAATAACTCAATAGCAGTCTGTTAAATAATCTTGAGGCCTTTTTTTAGTCTAGCTTGGGAAAAATTACCAAAAGAAATTGGAAATATTTTAGTAATAGAAAATATGATATGTTAGATTCGGAAATAGATCGATTGATAATATTTTTTTCTAATTAGGAATGATAATATTTTTTCTCAAGTGGTTTTTGTTATTAGTTTTCTGATATAACAAATATATAGATGGCATGATAGCTCAGTTGGTTAGACCACTGATTGTCTCTCCAGAGGTTCTGGGTTCGATCCTGGGTAACACCCTTGGGATTTTTCAGAGACACTTCCAGTGTTTCCAACCTACCTAGAGGTTTACTAGTAAGAAACCCAGGTAATCCTGTACACTGGGCATGCAAAAGAACCAAGGGTTTTTTCAGTAAGTGCTAGGGACTCAGGTTCCCACTCACTGAGGTTTCCTTGTATCTCAAAGCTGCCTTGGGAGTCTGGTGAGGTAAGGACCCTACTTGAAATAAGTGCTCGACTTTCATAGGTTATCCTTGACCACACAGTCTAAAGAAATTCATTTATTCATAATACATTATAAAACAAAATGAACCTTACGATAATGTTCTAAATAATTTACATTTGCACTAAATAACACAAATAATTGTACTTTAGTACTGTGGCAGCAGGTCTACATATTTATATTTGTCGTGAAAATAGTTGTCTTGACAATAGGTCTGATTATTTTAAGTCTGTCTGTACAGAAGATGGAACAAGGCTATTTTAGTATCATATTTACATGACTAACATAGTGCTTCTAAGAAGAAAAATTTTCTATAACATAACCATACTACAGTTTAACCTTTAATACAAAACTGATTTCATTAAACACCCTAGAGAAGAAATGAGCCATGTCACGACAAAACCAACATAGTGTGTTTGCGACCAGCATGGATCCAGACCAGCCTGCGCATCCGCACAGCCTGATCAGGATCCATGCTGTTCGCAATCAGTTTCTCTTCTTGTAATAGAGTTGATAAGCGAACAGCATGGATCCTGATCAGACTGCGTGGATGCGAAGGCTGATCTGGATCCATGCTGGTCGCAAACGCATTACTTTGGTTTTGTCATGGCGCGGCTCAGATATTTTCTGATCAGAATTCATATTGTACATGTTAACCCATGGTTTATATGTTAAGTTAGTTATTAATATGTCTACTAATTTTTTCTGTTTTTGCGACAACAGTGCGGCTTGTGAGCGGTATGTATGTTAAGACACTGCCACTATTGTTGTAGAATATTGTAATCATTCCTTTAGTTTATTTTTGGTATTAAAAGGGCAGATAATCCAAAATATAACACGGGTTTTAATATTGACAATTAACGTTTTGTATAACATAATTATGAGTTATGATTTCGGAAGTAAGTGTAAGTAGTATAAGTGATTTTAGATAAATAAATAATGTTTTTGGGAGAAGAATAAATATTCATCGCAAGTGGTACCAGACTTATTTGCTTGAGTAATTTTTTATTTGTTTGTATTTATTATAAGTTTCATTGGCACCTTCCTTTCTTTAGTTTTAAACACTTTAAGTGTTAAAGCTAGAAAAACAATCAAGTATAAAACAATGGCATGCCTGATGACTGATTCAGGGTCTGTTTTCCTTATGTCTGAAAGAGGTTGATGGAACCACTCTTAACTCTAAAATTCTTTAATATACAAGCAATGACAGTATATTGGTATTCAGAAATAGCAGTAACACCTATATAAAAGTTATTTACATATGATGGTATTGTGCCAGTTTCATCATAAAAGATGCAATTTTAATTTACTAGTATAGTTTTAATTTTCTGATAAAGAACATTCAAATAATCAGATTTAATAGCAATCATTTTTGAAAGTGGCATTTCATTTCGTTAACACTTTTAAACACTTAATTAAATCCTACCATTATGATTCTGAAAGAATTTTTGCGAACTTTTTTTTAAATTCAAAATATAACACTTAGATGCTAATGCATTTAAAAGTTCTGCTTTTTTTAATATTTTAACTCAAACTTTTATGCATAATATTATATCCACAAACACTCTGTAAATGCTTGTTCCCTTGGAGCCAAGAAACAGTTCTGTCGTTGAACGTTATATTATAGTAATTGAGGTACAAGGTGTGCTCGTAATTGAGGACCTATTCTTAAACAGAAAAAAATGACTTTTGAATATTCAATTTTGGTACATATAAAAAATTGTATACATTTTAAAAGGATTATCTAGCCCTTAATGTTTAAACCCATATATATTTTAGTTCACTGTAAAACATATTGTACAGGCATGCTATGAATTATTGGTAGTTGTATAATTTCTATATCTGGAATTTATATTTAGTTTTAATAGTATTGCAATTCCTAGTTTTGATATTTAAGTTTATGTCTTTGTTAAAGCCCCTTTATTTTTTTTCTATGCCCCTGCAATGACTGTATGATTGCAGTAAAGCATGTTGACAATACATTGATATCAGATATCAGATGACAAACCGATATATCGATAATTACTGCTATTTTCTTGTATATATTTCATTTTCATACCCGTTTCAATGATTTTAGTAAAATACATGTTCTGTTCATACATATATGTTGTGTCCTGTTTATAAATGTCCTTTGCATGATTTACTTTTGACCATTTTTTGTCATCACTGCTATGAAATGTATCCATTGAATTTGAAACAACACACTGATAATGAAAGTTACATAAATTATTCTTCACATAATGGTGATAAAATAATGCATATTATGGTAGGTATTTATATAATTTACATAACAACATGAAATGATTTTTTATCTAAAATCCTATGCAAAGGTTATAAAATTATATAATATTGCGCCATTATTGTATTATTTCTATATGAACTAGCAAAAGTCAACTGTTCACATTCTGTTTTGTTGTTCAACTTGAATAGATCCATGTGGATTTGATGAGCATGACAGTAGGCAGAAACCTGGTATACTTTAATATAGAATTGAGTTTTCAAACAATATTTTTTTGTTATTAAATGTGAATCCTATACTGTTAACAAAAACATAAACCTAACAACACCAAAAGCAAAATTTTCATTAACCTGAATGACTTTGTGATGTCATGTTTTTTTTTTAACTTATTCACTAACAGATACACTTTATTGTGTCAAGAGCAATGAAGCTTTGCAGTATTCTTACCTTGTTGTGTGTAAGGCCTTGTTTTCCTGCCTCAATATAGTTGCTCTTCTAACTCCCTATGTGTATTATTTCCTTGTTTTATCAACTTGGACTTAGTATTAATGATGAAATAATTATCATACTTAACCTGCTGAATTTGTGTAATGGTCTTGCAATTTTGAACAGTCTATTCAATGTTTAAGGAATTTCAATTATCTAAATACAAAACTTGAGCTACCAAAAATTTAGAACCTGGTCAGACTGCACAGATGTGTAGACTGGCCTGGCTCTATATTGGTGACATTTAGGCTAAGTAAATTAATCATAAACTGTCATAATGATGTAAATACATGTATGTTCTATTTTGATGTGTCACCTTTGTTTTGCAGTTATAATGGTCAACTTAGCCTTTTTCACTTACGAATTTTAACATCATAACAAGTAAAATTCATTATTATAAGAATAAATAGCCTTTAATATTTTTTTTTAAATAACCTATTACTTTTTGTCTAACTGATTAACATTGTCATGATTTGATGCTGATTATGAAAAAAATTATTTGTTTGACATAAATTACCTTAATGATTTTTACTTACTTTTTTCCTCACATTTTTCAAGCTTTATATGATCTCCAACATGTATTGATATGTGTTACAATATGACTTTGTTATCTCTTAGACGATACTGTTCTTTATTCCTGGATTTTAGATATTTTGAAATTCAGAAATTTTATATTGCTTTAGTTTTTCAAATTTAAACTGTACTAAATGCATTTAACATTATTCTGATACATGACTTACAACTTCAAGTGAGTCTTCGTTTTTTTGTTTTAATGATTTTTCTTGGCAAAAAAAATATTTAGGTAGTGAACATAAAAAAACAATGCATTGATAAATGTGTTTTTGTATAATTTTGCAGGTGCTGCTGTGGGTGAAGCTGAAAATGCTGCAGAGAAACGGGGAACTATTGGCGGCCTTGGTCTTGATGATATTCATGAAGACTTTGTCAGCGGGAACCAGAAGTTATTCGGGGATAAGCTCACTTCAAAGTCTATGTCGAGCGCAAGTAATCGTGCGTTACTCCAATATTTCGCCAAATTAGGAAAATCACAAAAAGACGATGAGGTTGTGGATTTAGATTTTGTCGAGACGTTAGTAACCAGTGGTGCTGATATAAATTGTACAGACAGACATGGGCAGACCCTTCTTCATGAGGTGAGTAATTAATGATTTTTTTATAGGGGAAAAGTTAAGAAAAGATTTTAAGGTTATATTGTAAAGATGGTTGGTACAAAAAAACATTTACTAAGTTTATATATGGCATTGCCATGAAATAAATGTTTGCCTAAAAGGTCAACAGTTATTGTACAATTTTGGTAATAATGCGCATAATTATGCTATTAAAACAAAACATACGAACATGCTCTAAAACCATGCATGAATTCAATGAATAAGCCAATGTCAACATTAATGTCTCGCAAACATTTATATATTCTACAGGTCATTTAAAAGTGAATTTTATTTAGATTTTTCAATTTCCTTTCTCCAGGTTGCAAGTAAATGGCATACTGATGTTGCCAAGTTTTTGATAGACATGAATGCAGACGTGAACAAGGCGGACAATTTCGGCAGAACTCCTCTCCATGTTGCAGCTGCTGACAACTATCCAGACATGATCAATGTGTTGATTGATGCAGGAGGTACGTACAGTTGAATTTTTTTTTAAAAACAAGTAGCGTCAATGACTGAGATGTAATGTTTAAGGCGCTGTATGCTTTCCCTTCGCACTGTGAGTTCAAATCTTATCAATGATTCTGAATAATCTCTTCTTCATGGAAGCTAGATTACAGGCAGTTGACAGTTTCACCTTGTTATGTGGTATTATAGAAACAAAAATAACTTTTTAGAAATATTACCCTACTTTTTTGAAATGGAAGCCTGTTTAAGAATTTTTTCAAGCCACTTTTTCACAGAATTAAAATATTTTTTTTTTTTTTTTTTTGTTTTTTTTTTCAATTTTTATTTTTATTTTAACTTGATTGTTAAAGCTGAGAAAGAAGCCCTTACAGCTGGAGAATTACAAACACCTGTACACTACGCAGCTAGAAATGACGCCACAGATGCTCTTAAAACCCTCATTAAACGCCATTGTAAATACAAGATGGTGAGGGACTACAAGGGGAGAACACCCTTACATGTTGCTGCTGAACTTGGTATGTATTAGTACATTTCATTGGCTGGATGTACATTCTTGGATGAATTTTTATTGGATAACAAAAGATAAATGTCAATTTATTTCAAAAATGAAAATACAACCAAGGTGTTTGGTACAGGTATCTAAGTCTGCTTTAGGCAGCAGATACTATCCCATTTAACCAATGCAAAACACATTGGTGCTATTTAATCAGTATATATATATTTTTAGCTCACCTGTCACAAAGTGACAGGGTGAGCTTTTGTGATCGCTTTTCGTCCGGCGTCCGGCCGTCCGTCCATCGTCCGTCCGTAAACTTTTACTTTAAATGACATCTCCTCATAAACCACGAGGCCAATTTATTCAAACTTCACAGGAATGTTCCTTTGGTGGTCACCTTTAAAAAGTGTTCAAAGAATTTAATTCCATGCAGAACTCTGGTTGCCATGGCAACCAAAGATATGGCAACCAAAGAAAAAACTTTAAATATCTTCTTTTAAAAAACCCAAAGAGCTAGAGCTTAGATATTTGGCATGAAACATCTTCTAGTGAGTGTCTACCAAGTTTGTTCAAAAGCCCTGGGGTCAAAATTGGCCCCGCCCCAGGGGGTCATTGATTTTCCCTATATGTATATAGTAAAAACTTAAAAAATCTTCCTTAAAAGAACTCGAAGAGCTAGAGCTAAGATATTTAGCATGAAACATGTTCTATTGGGTGTCTACCAAGTTTGTTCAATTAAAGCCCTGGGGTCAAAATTGGCCCCGCCCCAGGGGGTCATTGATTTTCTCTATATGCATATAGTAAAAACTTAAAAAATCTTCTTTTTAAGAACTCAAAGAGCTAGAGCTAAGATATTTAGCATGAAACATGTTCTATTTGGTGTCTACCAAGTTTGTTCAAATAAAAGCCCTGGGGTCAAAATTGGCCCCGCCCCAGGGGTCATTGATTTTCCCTATATGCATATAGTAAACTTAAAAAAATTTCTTTTAAAAAACCCAAAGAGCTAGAGCTAAAATATTTAGCATGACATGTTCTAATGGGTGTCTACCAAGTTTGTTCAAATAAAAGCCCTAGGGTCAAAATTGGCCCCGCCCCAGGGGGTCATTGATTTTCAGTATATGCATATAGTAAAAACTTAAAAATTCTTATGTTAAAGAACCCAAAGATCTAGAGCTAAGATTTTTAGCATGAAACATCTTCTAATGAGTGTCTTCCAAGTTTGTTCAAATAAAAGCCCTAGGGTCAAAATTGGCCTGCCACAGGGGGTCATTGATTTTCCCTATATGCATATAGTAAAAACTTAAAAAATCTTCTTTTTAAGAACTCAAAGAGCTAGAGCTAAGATATTTAGCATGAAACATGTTCTAATGGGTGTCTACCAAGTTTGTTCAGTTAAAAGCCCTGGGGTCAAAATTGGCCCTGCCCCGGGGGTCATTGATTTTCCTTATATGTGTATAGCAAAAACTTAAAAATCTTCCTTGAAAAAACCCAAATAGCTAGAGTTTAGATATTAAGCATGAAACATCTTCTAGCAAGTGTCTACAAAGTTTGTTCAAATCAAAGCCCTGGGGTCAAAACTGGCCCCGCCCCAGGGTGTCATTGTTTTTAAACTATATGTGTATAGTAAACTTAAAAAATCTTCTTTTAAAAAACCCAATGAGCTAGAGCTTAGATGTTTAGCATGAAACATTTTCTTATGGGTGTCTACCAAGTTTGTTCAAATAAAAGCCCTTGGGTTAAAATTTGCCCTGTTGGGTGGGGGGGAATAATTATTTTTCATTTTATGTGTGTAGTTAAAACTTAACATCATGAAACATCTTCTAATGGATGTCTTCCAAGTTTGTTAAAATAAAAGCCCTGGGGTTTAAACTGGCCCCGCTCCAGGGGGCCTATATTCAGGTGAGCGACCTCAGGGCCATCATGGCCCTCTTGTTTTATTTTTTTTCCCCTAAAAATGAGCAATTATAAGTTTTGTCCTGATTGAAAAACAGACCATTTAAGATCTTTAATATGAAAAGGGTTAGAAATGCTTGATTACAGTATAAAGCATTACCTTTACATGATGGTGTGATGCCTTATACAGAAATAAAACAATAAGTTGACTGTCTCTTAAACCAAGGGGTTGTTGGTTCAAGCCTCACTTGGTTCCCATACACAATTTCTCATGAATAAATACATGAAGCAGACTTTGGTCAAATCAGCTTCAAGCTTACACCATAATTATGCTAAATAAGTATAGAAATGTGATGCTTCAGTTATGCATTCATGATAACGTTTTATTTTTCTAGATCGCAGTGAGACAGCGAGGTTGTTGTTAGATTTAGAGGCACCTGCTGGTGTCACTGATTTGAAGGGGCAGTCTGTAATATCCTGGATGATCACTAAAATGCCTCCTGTTGTAAGTCACCTTTATGTTATTAATTTATACCATGCAATGAACAGTATTGTAACAGCATCTAGTTTTGTTATCATGAATTGTATATAGCAGAATATGCGTGTTTAGAAGGTAGAATTCAATTTTTCAAAGCAGTTTTCAAACTTGTCTATGGTTTTTCATTAAAACACAATAATATTCTCAGAAACTGTTCCTCAAAATTTAGAATTATCGTGTTTTGCAGACATTTTCCCTCTTTAAGTGTTGGCTTGGTCAAAATGCCGTACCATAATTTGTTCTTAAAGCTTTTTTGATTAAAGAATAAAGTTGTTCTCTATATGTGTTTTGTTCAAGTAATATTGCATTGTATTAAAGACCATGACTCTGTATGTATGATTTTCAAGGAATTAACTAAGTTATGTAATATTTATGTGTTTACAGGCTGCTGAGGCCATTCAACAGTTCCACTTGAAGGACCGTCCTAACAGAAAACAATACTTCTACCTTAACCTACTCACACATGATAGAGGTATACTTTAGATATATTTCACTGTCAACAATAGTTTATTATGTGGCTTATCTAAATATCAAATTCTTACATTTAGACTTTTGCTCGACAGAGACAGATTTTTGCTTCATTATTTTGTACAAAATATTAAAAGATATTACATTACCATTTTAATATTATTTTTTCAGCCATTTTAAGGTTGAAACTGAGCTTGTTTTCTTTCCTTTTTTTAAAAAAAATGTTAATCTCATACCTTTGACAAAAACTTTTCTGTCCCTCATCCTCAGAAATTACTCCTCCTCATCCTCACCCCTGTGGGTTCAAATTGGATTCTTTCATGTGAGGATTAGCTATCCTGCCAGCTTGCAGAACATAAGTGGTTCTACTCAGGTGCCTGTTTTGGGTCTGAAATAATGCATGGAAGGACACCTGAGGTCTTCCTCCACCAGTAAAGCTGGAAAGTCGCTATTTGACCTCTATTGTGTTGGTGCGACATATTACCCCATCAAAAAGAATAAAGAAAAAAACTTAGAAATTAATCAAATTCAAGTAAAATATACCACAACCAAAACTCACATTATGTAATTTTTTTACAATTATTGCACAAGATAATTTTGAAAAATGTAATTCTATCAGAAAATTTTAAGTCAAAGAAAACATAAAATATGATATAGGATATAGCCTTGCATTCTCTAACTTTTTTTTCAGTTAAAGATCCAAAATTCTACACACAGATGCCAGTAAGTGCTCAATCTCTGTACATTAAACTTATAATAAAAATTCAAGTAAAATGTACAAAAGGGGAAAGAAGCTAAAAGATTATAAATATAGTATATTATATAAATATCCTAGCACAGCATAGAAAATTCTTTTCTAAATGAACATTTGATTTAACAGGTGTTAAGATTACTCAATGACAATAATTTTTAGAACAAAAATCCTAGCGCTATAGTGCTTGATTTTAGAAATTTTGGAATTTAGTTTTTGATGCTCTTTATTATTTTTACAATGAAAATATTTTTATTTCAGTGTGCTTGATTTTCATAGGAATTATTCAAGATTATGCATATAGGTTATCTGGGTGCTTGATTAACATTTATATTTATTGATATTTCAGTTACAAGTTGCTGTAAAGTATAAACAGTATGACATTTTGACACAGTCAGTTATGCTTACACTGACCAGGATCATGTGGGAGAAATTTGCAAGGTGATTGTTTCTGTGTATTAACTGAGATATTTTGTTGAATTTTCAGAAAATTTATTTTAGTGGTACCAGTGCTAAGTTATTGATAAATTTGAAAAGAGATATTTTTAGATTATATGATTAACTTGCTGGTAGCACATGATAGTTTGAATCCAAGTGATATTGTTCTGACAACCATAAACTGCTCTTTGGGTCTTCCTAAATCTGTTATGATTGAAAGTTACCATTATGAACCAAGCCATAGCAAACCAAAATGCTGAAAAAAGAAAAAATGATTTACATGTAAATAAAGTTTTAATCATGTCGATTATTGTTGTTCTAATTAAATCTTACACATTTTTTTTGACAAAAGTTTATTGTTGTTTTGTAACAGATGGCGTGCATACGGGTCATTGTTATTTAATTTCGTGTACATTATGTTATGGACGGTTTACGGAGTTACGATAGAGTACGATGAGCGCCATCTATATAAACTTCCGGAACATTGGTGGAGGATTGTTCTATTGGTAATTATATATTCTGTTAAATAATTCACACTTTGACACATTTAAACAACTGCCGTTCAATTAATTATTTTTAGCTCACCTGTCACAAAGTGACAGGGTGAGCTTTTGTGATCGCTTTTCGTCTGGCGTCCGTCCGTCGTCCGTCCGTAAACTTTTACTTTAAATGACATCTCCTCATAAACCACTAAGGCAATTTCATCCAAACTTCACAGGAATGTTCCTTTGGTGGTCACCTTTAAAAATTGTTCAAAGAATTTAATTCCATGCAGAACTCTGGTTGCCATGGCAACCGAAAGAAAAAACTTTAAATATCTTCTTTTTAAAAACCATAAGAGCTAGAGCTTAGATATTTGGCATGAAACATCTTCTAGTGAGTGTCTACAAAGTTTGTTCAAATAAAAGCCCTGGGGTCAAAATTGGCCCCGCCCCGGGGGTCATTGATTTTCCCTATATGCATAAAGTAAAAACTTAAAAAATCTTCTTTTAAAGAACTCAAAGAGCTATGGCTAAGATATTGAGCATCAAACATGTTCTAATAGGTGTCTACCAAGTTTGTTCAAATAAAAGCCCTGGGGTCAAAATTGGCCCCGCCCCAGGGGGTCATTGATTTTCCCTATATGCATATAGTAAAAACTTAAAAAATCTTCTTTTAAAGAACCAAAAGAGTTAGAGCTAAGATATTTAGCATGAAACATGTTCTAATAAGTGTCTACCAAGTTTGTTCAAATAAAAGCCCTGGGGTCAAAATTGGCCCCGCCCCAGGGGATCATTGATTTTCCCTATATGCATATAGTAAAAACTTAAAAAATCTTCTTTTAAAGAACCCAAAGAGCTAGAGCTAAGATATTTAGCATGAAAACATGTTCTAATGGATGTCTACCAAGTTTGTTCAAATAAAAGCCCTGGGGTCAAAATTGTCCCCCGCCCCGGGGGTCATTGATTTTCCCTATATGCATATAGTAAAAACTTAAAAAAATCTTCTTTTAAAAGAACTCAAAGAGCTATGGCTAAGATATTGAGCATCAAACATGTTCTAATAGGTGTCTACCAAGTTTGTTCAAATAAAAGCCCTGGGGTCAAAATTGGCCCCGCCCCAGGGATCATTGATTTTCCCTATATGCATATAGTAAAAACTTAAAAAATCTTCTTTTAAAGAACCAAAAGAGTTAGAGCTAAGATATTTAGCATAAAACATGTTCTAATAAGTGTCTACCAAGTTTGTTCAAATAAAAGCCCTGGGGTCAAAATTGGCCGCCCCAGGGGGTCATTGATTTTCCCTATATGCATATTGTAAAAAACTTAAAAAATCTTCTTTTAAAGAACTCAAAGAGCTATGGCTAAGATATTTAGCATCAAACATGTTCTAATAGGTGTCTACCAAGTTTGTTCAAATAAAAGTCCTGGGGTCAAAATTGGCACCGCCCCGGGGGTCATTGATTTTCCTTATATGTGTATAGCAAAAACTTAAAAATCTTCTCTTTGAAAAAAACCAAATAGCTAGGTTTAAGATATATTAAGCATGAAACATCTTTTAGTGAGTGTCTACAAAGTTTGTTCAAATAAAAGACCTGGGGTCAAAATTGGCCCCGCCCTGGGGGTCATTGATTTTCTTTATATGTGTATAGCAAAAACTTAAAATCTTCTTTGAAAAAACCCAAATAGCTAGAGTTTAGATATTAAGCAAGAAACATCTTCTAGTAAAGTGTCTACAAAGTTTGTTCAAATAAAAGCCCTGGGGTCAAAACTGGCCCGGCCCCAGGGTTGTCATTGTTTTTAATTATATGTGTATAGTAAAAACTTAAAAAAAATATTCTTTTAAAAAGCCCAATGAGCTAGAGCTTAGATGTTTAGCATGAAACATCTTCTTATGGGTATCTACCAAGTTTGTGCAAATAAAAGCCCTTGGGTTAAATTGGCCCTGCAACGTTGGGGGGTGGGGGTTGGGGGGCCTATATACAGGTGAGCGACCTCAGGGCCATCATGGCCCTCTTGCCTCTTGTTAATATGTTTTGTTCCGATCATATCTAGTGAAATGTCTTTTTATAAATGAAATTTTTTGAAATTTAAAGAGTAAATTTTAAAATGGCAAAAATATGGTAGTGAATGTAAAACTTTAAATTAAAAAGTTTTAAAAAAGTAGTTTACCTAACAAGATAATTTTTAACATAACAAAATTCAATAACTTAAAGACATCAATAAAAATAAAACACACTTTTCCCATTCAATGCACACAGTGGGAAAATTTTATGATATTTTCCTACAAAAATTAAGTACAAAGATCTTATATATTTTAAATTACTGTTTTGGATGCTTTTATCTTACGTTGGCGCCAGTTAAATTCGCCAATTAAAGATTTTATGCGCCAGAATTAATAATTTGTCGCATTTAGCGCCAGCGACAGCGGGAACCCTGGTACATTCTAGCCTTTGTGCCATGCAATTTTATTTAAAATTGCAGTTAATCACAGTTTATAATACATTTTATGGCACACCAACACAATTTAGGTCATATGGCGGTGAAACAGGAAAGATGATTTTGGCTAACCTTAGTTGTTACAAACTTAATGCAACACAAGGAGTCAAAACTTCCTCAACAATTGAAGCTTAGAGATGCATAGACTCCAGTAATTCCAACCCATTTAATTGCCTCATTCGATCATGCAGAGATAAACAGTGGCTGCAATTCTAAAACCTCAACCAAACCCCGTCCCCCCATCCCCGAGCCATGAGGGGAAAAGATCTTTTCTTGTCTAGAAGAAAGAAAATACATCATGAGAAGAAAACATGTTACATTGTATCATAAATTGTTGAATATTATTATAAAACTTTGTTGTAATTCACAGGCTGCTGCTGTTGGGATTACAATGTGGCAGGTCATAGATGAGATCAGAGAATACTGGAGATCTAAAGAAAGTGACATAGTAAGTGACGTCCACATGAAATGTTTGATAATATAATATCATAAAAAACTTTCTTTTTTTACTTTACAATTCATGTTTAAACAAAAGCTATTATAGTGATTGTTTTGAATTTTTGATAAAGGTCTTAGATTGAAATGTTTATATAGTTTAAGTTTTATTGGATGGTTTGCATCAGGTTGAAGATCTATAAGGGAAAAAGTTGAAATTAGATATATTATATAGTGATAGTGAAAGTTATACAGTGGGCATTATAAATCATTTAAGAAGGTTAGATACTGGTAAAGAAACAATAACAAGGAGGGAAGACTTTTAGTTAAATGTTTGTGAAACAAAGTAATACAATGTAGTTTTATCACATACCTGTGCCGATTTTGCGGCTCCGTAAAAAAGGTATTGTATGGCTGTGCATATATTTTGACATGACGACATTTGCGTTATACAGACATAGTGTTTGAAGACACGCTTAATATTAGCATTATACTATAGGCGCATCAATAAAAATTGGTCTTTTTTCACTTCAAATGGTCGTTACTTTTGGTATGTGATAAATAGAATATTAAATTTGTGTAAGTCCATTACGGAATTTCTTGAACTCATCAAATTAAATAATATTATGCTCGCCAGAGGCTCGTATAATATAATTTAAGTCAACTTTCAATAAATTCAGTATTAAACTTACACTCATTCAATATCCTCTATTTAATATATTTTTATCTGGTGATATGTTTTTCAAGTTTAAATGTCAAAGTTATGAAATATTATGAAGAAGTGTTAATAATTCAATAAATTTAAACGGTATTTATGATATTCTGTATACATATATATTATAAGGGTAAACATTGTTGTACTATTGTAATTAGAATTGGAAGAAATGGCGTCGAGAGGAGATAGATGAGGATTTAAAATATTGTCATCCAAGATGGCCGGAGGAAGAACAATTTTTAAATCAGGAACTCCAAAATCTTGAAGATAGTAATACAAGATACTTTTCTGATATGTGGTAAGTTTTTACTTGTATGCGAACTTGCTCAGTCATAAAAAATGATTCATTGATTTGTGAATATTATATGTTTGTATGGAATGTAAAAAATACCTGCAACCAGTCATGTAAACATTGGTTCAGTTAACTTTATTCTTATTTTAAATATTTGTAGAAGTCATTTACAAATAACTTATCATTAACAGCAAGATATACAAAAGAAAATACAGAAGTGTACTCAAACTTAAATAGAAAATATTATTTTTGTGCTATTGTTTACCCAATTAAGTTAAAACACTTTACATTTTTTAGGTCACTTTTCACAAGTTAAGGATGTTTTCGGGAGTTTTCATATAGACATATAGGCAAAATTAAAACTTTTCTATAGAATTTCTTTTAACTTTGCACTATTGAACAGTTTTAATTTTGCTTATATGTCTATATGAAAACTCCGGAAAACGTCTTTAAGTGATTATTAATGAAAAATGGAGAAAAACTCCTAGAATAATTAAAGAAAAACATTTTTGACATTTACAGTTTGACCCATTTCAGTACAGAAACTATAAAGTGTTAGCCTTAATATTTTTCCCTCTATCTTTTTCAGGAATTGGTTTGACTGGTTTTGTTATACACTATTGGTTGCAGTTATTGGCACACATGTTGCAGACATTGTAGATCACACTGATGCCGTGGCGCGAGCCCACATACGTCTCACAGCTGTGGTTGTCATATTTCTGTGGCTTAGGCTGATGAAGAACATTCGAGCTTTTTCAATGCTTGGTATGTAAGAGATGTTATAAGTTGAAACAAAAATGAGCCGCGTCATGACAAAACCAACATAATGCATTTGCGACCAGCATGTATCCAGACCAGCCTGCGCATCCGCGCACGCGCAGTCTGATCAGGATCCATGTTGTTCGCTTACATACTCTATAACAAGTAGAGAAACTGATAGCGAACAGCATGGATCCTGATAAGACTGCACGGATGCGCAGGCTGGTCTGGATCCATGCTGGTTGCAAACCCATAATGTTGGTTTTGTTGTGACACGGCTCAAATATTCATTTCTTGTATAATTATACGAGGTGTTTGTCTGAGAAGTTCTGTACTTCGTAACTAAACTTTTTGATGAGCAACTGAAATATATCGGGGTGAATAAAGACTCATATCTCACAATTTGAAAAACTGATTTTAAAATTTGTATCTATACTTTATGATGAGATACTGAAATACTCTTGACTACTCTGAAATACTCTGATACTCACATTTTGAAAATCAGTGACATAATTATAGAAATTTGCTCCCTGTTCTGTACATGGAATTTAGTTACAGCAAAAATGTACAGTGACATCTTACTGTGGAGCACACTAGCATGTCTGGTGCTTAATTTATGAAAAATAAAGAGTTGAATCTTACACAAACAAATGTTCTCTCATCACCTTATTTCTTGTATTTTCATGTTTTCTCATTTTCACATTTTGAGGCAAAGAAGCGAAACTACGATATGGCGTAAATCAGCCACCATAGTATTTTGATATAGCAGTATGAGAGAATGACTGTATATGACTGATGGTGACTCAATGATTGTTTCTTAGCCAGTTTTATTATGTCTGAAAGAAACTGAGTCATTCTTTCAGATAGGAGGGTACATAAGTATTAGGCAGAAAAGAAAATGGCTGTCCTATAACATGTTGCAAGGACATTCAGTTGACAACCAAGTCAACACAAAACCCCTTATAAGGTTTTCTGCAAAAAGCCGCCTCTTTCCATACTTGATTTAAGTGGTGGCAGGTAAAATAAAACCCCAGAAATTTTTAAACTGGAAATTAATTTATTAATATTAATTATTACTTATGATATTTTAATGCATTAATGTAATGACTTTTTACTATTTTTCTATTTCAGGACCATTTGTTGTGATGGTTGGTGCCATGATATCAGATCTGTTGAAGTTTGCCTTCTTGTATTTTGAGTTTTACATTCCATATTGTAAGTTTTACCTGTTTTATAACCCATGCAATACCTTATTTCACCAATTTTATGAACTTGTCTGTCTCATTATAAGTTTAATATTCTAAATCAACCAGCTTTCATATTGCATGTCACAAACATTATCTATTATTTTATGTCCTTTCATTACATTTTGTAAATTTTACTTATTTTATAAAATCTAATCTTAAGTCTTGTATGTTTTACATTTTTTCGGTACTTTCTTTCTTTATCACAAGTTTTAGGTTTATTTATTTATTGAATTTATTTCTAATCAAGGGTTTTACATATCTGTAAACCTACTATAAATGGTTAAGTATACCATTTTTTCAAATGTTCAATGTGCCATCATTATATATTTCACTGGAAATCCTGACAGTGACTTTAGATTCTTTTGTGTGAGGAAGCTGTTGAGCTAGCTTACGGAATGTTGGTGGTTCTACTCCGGTGCCCTGAAATAATGCATAGAAAAGGCCTTTGAGAGGTCTTTCTCAACCAGTAAATCTGGAAAGTTGCCATGATGACCTGAACTGTGTTGGTGCAACATAAAACACGATAACAAAACAAAACAAAAAACCCAAAAAATTCATTGGAGGATTATGATCTATTTATTGTGTATTACAGTGTGTGCATTTTGGATGATATTTGGTGGCAACAAATATCCAGAAGGTACTGCGGGCCAAGCTAACAGAACAGAGCTTACTGTAGATGGTTTCATCAATTTTAATGAAGCAATGTTTTCCTTATGGAGAATGACACTAGTAGATGAATATGCATATGATGTAAGATGCTTTTTTTTCTTATATCTTGTAGAGTGTGTATTTAAAAATATGTAAACACCACTAATGGCTTCTTAGAATTTAAACACCAGCTAGCCAGCCAATAAACATTTAAAAGACCAAAGTCCAGTTTGTATGTAATATTTCTCATATTATAATTTGCAATGTTCTTAATCTGAAAGGAAGAGTTCCTGCAAGGACAGAAACTCATAGCCTCAATATAATACCATACAACAGTGTTATTTGACCATCATGATTCTTTTAATATTGTTACTTTTACATCACTTAACTTGAGCAGTCGGATAAAAATGAGCCGCATCACTACAAAACCAACATAATGGGTTTGCGACCAGCATGGATCCAGACCAGCCTGCGCATCCGCGCAGTCTGATCAGGATCCATGCTCTTCGCTTACAAACTCTATAACAAGTAGAGAAACTGATAGCGAACCCATTATGTTGGTTTTGTCGTGACGCAGCTCAGTTAATAAATAATCACAGCTGGAAATGGTGATAGCTATTTTTCTGTAAGACAGTTGATACCATTCTGAAAATTACCATACTTTTGTGAAATGGTTTTCACCTGCTTTGAAATTGGAACAGTCTGTTTAAAGTTTAAGGTATTTTAGTATAATAATATAAAGATAGAGACACCAAACGTATAAAGCCTCAGGCCAGACTTCATGGGTGTGCAGCCAGTCTTGCCCATAGCTGGTGGCAAAGGCTAATTATTATTACTTCCTGAAGCCCACTATATCTTAATATTATGTCAAATAACAAAAAGCTTTTTAAAGGGAGAACATTTCTATCTGAGAAGTGTCAATACAAAATTTGAGATTCAGTGCACAGATTAAAGCAAAACATAACTTATGATACTATATACATTGGTGCTCGTAACTTAATCAGTGTAAATAATTTTCATTTTAAAAAACAAATATACATATATCTGATGTTTGACCTCTGACCTTTTTTTACAGGAAATGAAGGCTATAGATCCTATCATGGCTGACATTTTGGTTGGTACCTGGCTGTTCTTGTCTGCGGTTCTCTGCCTGAACCTTCTTATTGCCTTGTTTTCTGATACATTCCAAAGGTAAGTTTATATAATACTTAGATTATGAAAAGGTATAGTACGCGGGCTTAGCGCAAAACGGTTGTAACTCAATTTAAGCAAATTTTTTAGGAGCATGAAAAAACTTTTTAAAACTTTTGTTAATGAATAAAAATGTTTCATTTTAGGAAAATATATACATTTTAGTTAAGGAATTAGAAACAAAATAAGACAAAAGAAGCAAATTATTTTTGAAAAAAGATATTTGAATAAGTTCAAGTTACAACCGTTTTGCAAATAAAATTTTGATAATTTGTTACATATTTTTTTGTGCAAAAGGGTAGTATCTCAAGTTACAACTGTTTTCCGCACAAATTTTGAGCAATTTTAATTATTTTCTTTGTGCAAAACGGAAGTATCTCAAACTCACATCTTATTTATAGGATGTAATAATTGGATAAAATAAAACATTACTTCTAAATCACATAAAATACATGTAGCCATTATAAAATAAGATTATAATATGTGCAAAGTCATGTTTAGAATGAATAAAAAATAATGAAAGTAAGAATAATCAGTAAAAGTTTGAAGAGAATGAATGTCCTCAATAGAGAATAATATAGCCTATCCACTTTATTTAAAAATATGTTATGGATAAGCTAAAATTAATTTTTATGGTAATTATAAATTCATATGCTATTCTATAGAATGGTATAAATGCTATCTTAGGCACATGTACATGTATTTCAAAATAAAAAGTAAGGTTAGCCACCCTTTGCAGCTGCTGGCATTTAATCCTTTAAATACCCCCAATTGATATTATTAAATTACGGACCTTCAATTTTAGTGAAATAATTCAAAATCTTTTAGATTTCAAAATGTTTTAAAGGGATAATTATGCTCGGGCTCTGATCTTTACTGGTTGCATGATAGAATGTTGACACCATTTGCAGTTTAAGACGTTTAGTAAGCTGTAATTTTTGAAAAATATTTGTTTGGAAATATGAAGAAGACACCATTACAACTTGAATACAAGGTCCTCATAATGTGTTTGACTTAAAGCTACGTCTCACTGACATCACTGCAGAGCCCTGGTAGACGTCCGGGGTGATTCGGGCTCTTAGTAACCGGGAACAACCGGGGTAACATCCGTTACACACTGCCGACAACATCTGGGATGACTTGGGAACATCCGGCATTCGACCCTGGAATGGAATAAAATATACTCCTTAATATCACCACCAGGGGGGTCCTGGATGATCCGGGGGAAGTAAAGCTCTTGCGGCTTCTCAGGCCCATGGATCTACTTGAAACCTTAGCTCTCCGGGAATAACCAGGGTTACACCAAGGGGAAGCACCGTACTAGACTTCCGGCACAAACCGGGGATGATCTGGGGTTATATACCAGTAAAGCCCCGGTGAATGCTGGCAGAGTCGGTAAATTGGAAGTCCAAGGAGCCGGCGAGCCCTGGAGGATACGATGGGCTACGGTTGAATCCAGGTAGAGCTTCCATCAAAGCCCGGTTCATTTCAAAAAATCCAAAAATTTTGCGATATTCACTTTGTTTTGTTTTAAAACCCTTTGCATTTCCCCTTTTCTATCCAGTATGGCATAAGGATTTTTCAGAAATATCAATGAATTAACTTGTTTCTGGAACAATAGAATAATATTTAAAATAAAAATTATGTTTCAATGTTAATCTTTTCGTAGCGTTTAATTTTCAATCTACAGGGGTCTGCCTGGATCGACCGGGAAGCAACTGTATTAACCGAGCTTCACCTGGGGCTCTGCCTGGATGGTCCGGGAGCGCATCCTGGCTTGGTTAGTTGGGAATACCATAGTGGCTGCGGGGTTGTGTGACTGCAACAATAATTTCCCCCGGATTGTCCGGATATACTGGTAACCTTACCGGGTTGGTCCTGGGCTCTGCGGAGTAAGTGAGACACAGCTTAAAAAATTGATGGGTGCTGATAAATCAATTTCTACTTGTTATACCTTTCAATTTCATTTATAATAAATTACATGTACTTTGTCATTCTAGAAGTTCATAAAAAATAGAATACCTTTAAATTACATCAGCCCACTGACCAGTTCTCATTAACTTGCAGAAGTTTACATCTATATCCCAAAAAATTTTTTCTTTTACTTCTGGGCATATTTTGGGGGGGTTGGTTATATTGTGTCCAACAGTATTGTTCTTGGTATCATCTTCATTAACTTTCATAAAGGTCATTGAATAAACAGCTTGTATCAAACGAATATATTGATAATATTTGTTATCTTCACATGTCAGTAGGTGAGGTATATTTGTATAGATGCCGAGGGGCTACTGATCTGAAGGTCTCTGGTTTGATTCTAACCAACACTGCGTTATGAATTCACATTTTTTTGTGTTTTTTTTTTTATTATTATAAGCAAGAATTGAATTAATTTTGAAAATGTTTTAATATATCTACTTTTTTAGGAGAACCTTTTAAGTAAGGCTGCCCACGTTTTACAATTTTTTGTAAATGTTTACACGATTGCTAAGAACGAAAACGATACCGTTTTTAAACGGTTTGGTACCTCTATGTACTATACACCATGTTTTTGAGTCGCCAATGATGTCTTTCTTTCTATTTTTAATACATGTACAAATAAAGAATGTGCAGGGCTCATCACAATTGAGTCAGACAAATTTTTTGGCATTGTAACCCATAATTCTGTGTGGAGGGTTGTAAACACCATTTTCCGTTTGTTTACTTTTGGAATAAACCACTAGAACCATGATTCAGGCAATGATAAAAGAAATTTTGTAAGAAATACAGTCATTTTATTAAACGGTAACAATATCGCAAACGGTTTAGAATGAAAATATTACGAATCCGTTTAAACGTTAATCGTGGGGGCCCTTTACTTTTAAGTAGTGTGGTGTTTCCTTTTTTTTTTATCAAGATGACTTGTTATTCGTAAGTACTCTGACATACGGACGTTGGGGAACAATCGTAATTTTTCTTAGAACGCATATTTTTCAATGGTTTCTTGGTGACATAATGCAAACGTATATGGTTTTAGCGCATACAACTACAGATGTAGTTAATATAAAGTACAACAGATAGAATACAACAAAAAAAAAATGATTTGCACAAGTTTTAATTTAGCCAGAAGGAGAGAAGGGCAATTTTAAAATTAAAAGAAAAAAGTGGCTGAACAGGATTTGAACCTACGATTTTATAATGTCTATAATATTTGAAGCAATGTCTTAATTACTGCTTGCGCTAAGAGGGATTCTTAATTAAGACCATTTAACAACTCGTTTATTATTAGTTATAAAGATTGTTTGTCAGGGTTATATATGGCCCTATATAAACCGCTATATTTGTAGGGGCGGGGTTTATATTGCAACACGCCGTTTATATACCGCCATAATATTATTACCTGTCAACAATCTTTATAACGAATTTATAATACAGCAAGCATTATTTTTTAGAGAAAAAAGTAAGATGTTTTTATGAATCGACAGCTGACGAGCCGTGTATATAAAACTATATATAAATGTTCACGATTATCCAATGAAAAGCGACGTTACAAACATGCAGTATTATAAACATTCATTAAGATTAAGTAGATCAAAGTTTTACGGAATTTACTGGCTAGGGGGTCAAATGAAGAGTGCATGGTCAATATGTTTGGAAAAAAAAAAAATAGTCCCTGTCTGTCTTTAGTGGGGAAAAATTTTTTTTTAAAAAAAAAACTGCTGAATGTCTGTAAAAAGGAAAATTTTTCCCTGCTTTTTATTTGGAAAAAAATTCAAATCAAACAATCAATTAAAGAACTAAAATTTGGGGTGCTACAGTCAAAAAAACCTAACTGAAGGGCACAGGTATCAGGCTGGCCCCGGGTCTAACTTGTGGGGAAGAACTTACATTTTTGTTAAAAAAGTCAAGGGGTTTCAACTTCATAGATTGGGTCAAAAAAAAACTAAAAAGAATTAAAATGGATTTTATAATAATTTAAAAAATGGTCCCCCCTTAAATTGGGGCTTACCCCGAATTTGGATTAGGTTTAAATGGATTCTTTTTTGGTAATTCACATTTTTTTGGGATAGAAACTTTTAAAAAAAACTTCATTTAAACTCAATAGTTTTTTCTATTTCCGTTTCAAGGCAGTGTATTTTATTTTTTTTTTAAGTATTTATTTTCTTTCAAAGGTTTAACAATGGCTTGGTTCCTGCACTTTTTTCCCCTTTCCTTCTCAGTTTTCCTATTTTTTTAATGTGTTTTTTCTTATATTTTGGGGAATAACCCCCCCCTCCCCCCTTTTAATTTTTCCATATCCCTTTTGTTCTTTTTTTTTTAATTATACCCCTTTTCATATACATGGTATTTTTCTAACCCTTCACAATAATAAATTTAAATGGTTTTTTTAAATGTAAATGCTTTAAAAAAAAAGAAAAAAGGTGACAAAGTAATTAATTTTTCATAAAAAAAGCAAAAAATTAAACAAACCTGGCAGTATTGATCCACAAAAAACTAATCATGTACTGTTTTTTTTCAAAAATTTCAAAAGATAAAAAATTGTTAGGTAAATTTCCATGAGTAACTTTCTTGATAAGAACACTAAAATTTAGAAGCTTTGAGAAATAAAAATAAAAGCATTTCTGAAGCATTATGGGTCTGAGCTAGGTGGCCTTGACATACCTTCCATGAACAGACTTTGTGCCTGCAACAATTTAAGTTTTGCTACTATGAGCATAAACTGAAGATACTCTGAATTAAATCTACATGTACTTGCATTATTTTTCAAAATATGGGAACGTTTGTCTGCCCTGTAAAAATAAGTGTGGCGCTAATTTTCGACCCATAAGGGGCTAAATCTGTCCGCCTTGTTATTTTATAAACTGTTTGTGTTTTTGAGGTGGGGGGGGGGGGAATATGGACATTTGTCCTTCAATATATATTTGAAAAGTTATTTCATTTACTTAATATCAAACAATTGCTGATTGTGGCAGTGGATATTTTCATTTATTGGAATTAATTTATGAGATTAAACTATAGTGTAATATACATTTAAGAATTTCATGAAGATAATATAAAATCACAATTTAGTTGGATTTTTTACCAATATTTAAGGTTTATTAGATATATTAAAACAAAAAATCTTTTCTACTGTCTTTAAATCCTCCTTTTCATGTGATGATTCCACTAAGACAAACAGAATGCTAATTTACTTCCATTGCACTATCAGAATTTTCAGCGCAAAAAGGTTGTAACTTGAGATACAACCCTTTTGCGCTGAAAATTAAGAGCAATTTGAGATACAACCTTTTGACAAATATTGATTTAACTTGTTAATTTTCAGAATCCATTTAAAATACTTACTGAGGATATGCATAACCACAAAACACATTGAAAATGTTAAAAATGTTATTTTGTGGAAAAAAGTGAGTTACAACCGTTTTGCGCTAAGCCCACGAGTAGTTAATAAACCATTGTCTGACAATTTCAAAAACAAAAACTTTCTTGAATGCAGGTTAGAATAAGCCCCAAGGACTGAAAATGCATATTGTGTATTTTCTTGTCTTCACTTGTCTAAATATTATAGTTATTATCAGCTAGATATTTCAGATGAATCAAAGATTGTTCAAATTCAAATGACTATTAAAAATCATCTACATGTATAATTATTTCATTGCAAAAATTTTTATAGAAAATACCGTTTTATTTTGTACCTTTTAGAGTATATGATAACGCACGTGCCAATGCGGTAATGCAGAAAGCTGTCATGATTTTGTCATTCTGGGAAGGTATGAGTCCCGAAACACGTAACAAATTCCTTGATCATATATCAAATACCTGTGCACCGTTCAAGGAGTATTACGATGATGATATGACGGAAAGTGATGACGCTGATCTGAAGAAAGTAACGATACAAATAAAGGTAACAATAATTGCGATACTTTTAAATTACCTATTACAACTATTTTAAATGGTTCAGGTTTTGTAATGTGTTCCTCTCATATTATTTACTGTTGTCATCAACTATTATTACTAATAAGGGCAGGTTTTGCCACCAATATAGAGCTAAGCCGGCTGTTCACCAGGCTCCACACTATTGGCTGATTAAATTTCATCTTTATATCCCCTAAGTTTATTATTGACTGTTCCAAAAATAGAATATGAACTAGTCCATTTAAGAAATTTAGCAGGTTAAAGGTTAAGGAAACGAGACACACTTGTAAGATTACCTGATGGTATTTATAAATCAATAAAATACATCTACCATATTTACATTCAATCTCAGCAGTTAATTGAAGTCCACTGGAGTCAAAAAAAAAACTTAAACAAACAATAAATGTTTCTTTTATTCAGTACTGGTATAGAAAATGTATGCTCATTATTTTTTTCTTTCTGATGAACTTCTGTCTTTGAATCTAGACTAAGAATAATTTTTCAGGAACAACTAGATGAAATGAAAGAAAAGTGGGACGATCAGTTTGGATCCGGGGATGACAAAACAGCTCTGGTGAGTACAGCCTTGTTAAGATAATTGGATGTTTACATTTGCACTGCATAGAAATACCCAAACAACTAGTTATAACAAATAAAAATGTTTAAACAGGTATAAATTGATTAAAGCAGTGGATGATTGAAATTCAGACATTCTGAAAGAACACAGTTTTATGAATACGTTGTGTTCATAAAGAAATTAAAATATTAGTTACACATCTAATTTAATTATCTTTTTGCTCAGTTAAATGCCTAGAATATCTTAAATTCATATTCTTGTTCTAAAGTATTTATTGATTAAAGCAGTGGGTCCTTGAAATTCAGACATTCTGAAAGAACACAGTTTTGTGAATATGTTGTGTTCATACACAAATTAAAATATTAGTTACACATCTACTTTAATTATCTTTTTGCTCAGTTAAATGCCTAGAATATCCTAAATTCATATTGGTGTTCTAAAGTATTTATTGATTTTTTTCGTAGCCAATAAGTTGGTATATTAGGTGCTTCAATTTGCCCCTGTGGGAAAATTACTTTTTTGTCAAAAATATTGAAGAGACACACTAAAAAAAATCTAGAATAACTTAAAAACTTAATAGTTCAAAATCTTAACTAACAAATAAATAACATTCATTTAAGACCAAATATGGGAATTCTTTCAGTTTTGCATGTAGCATCTTTGGAATATATTCCAAACATATGTAGCTTTCAGGCCATCCTGGTAGCATATCTGAAACTGAGGTGTTAAAGCCGTATTTTAAGATGTTTTTACTTTTTAAATTCAAACTTTATCAGTTGAATAAAATTCATTTTTTTAACATTTATAATTTACACAGTTAAATGAGGTAAGTACTGTGTTCACTGTTAATGTTTACCATTCAAGTTGGAGTTGACTGTAGCATGCTAGATCTGTAATATCACTGAAAATGGTTACTGTTATATTCTTACAATGTGAAATTATTTTAATATCACAATTTAATTTTCCACTTTTCCTTTTAAAAAAAGTATTTCAGTTCAAGATTATCATGCTTTTATATACACTTAACCACTTAACACTAAGACACCTGTGTTAGAAATTTATAAAAAAAAAATCTTCCACAAGACTGACATATATAAAATACAACATTTTTCTTTTGTATTAAATCCAATATTAATAACAAAGGTCTGGGACATATACAAGTTACTGACATTTTATGAGGCTAGACTGTTTGAATGAGATTTTGCTAGTCATGATACATCATAGCAAAAAGAAAAATAAATTCCAATTGAGGTATCTGGTACATTTTAGCTTCCCATGATTTTTTTTTAGACATTTAAACCTTCATCAAGTCAGCTGCCTTTCATGCTTATACATGCCCAATTTGTGAAAGAATTTTGTTTCAGGACTTACCTGAGATATGGTTGCACATGGGCAGTTCGCTTCAGTATAATTATGCTTAAAAAAGCTTATCCCTCTGCCTGCACAATTATAATATTCAGATAACCAGCAGTCAAAATAAGTAATATTTAAAAGGTTTTATGTCTTGCCATGTGTTTCCCTGTTATATTCACCAAAAAAATATCAATCCCAAACCAGTTCACATTTAGAATAAACCATGCAGTATTTATGCTTCATGTTCTGTATTGAAGTTGAATCTTAAAACATTGATTTAAAAAACAAAAAAACAACAAAAAACAATTATTTCTACGGCAATAAAGTGTGTCATAATGTGTCTTGTTTCATGATTGCAGGTTTCATGATACAATGTCTTTTTTTCATAAATACATGAAAAATTCAGCACAGTCATAATGTAATTTGATATATTTGAATTTTCTTTTAGTTTTCATGAAATAAACAGTTTTCTTGATCATCAAATGCAAATTTGTCTTGCATATAATGAAACTTCTTTTATCATCATTAATTGAGCTGCACCATGACAAAACCAACATTGTACGTTTGCGACCAGCATGGATCCAGACCAGCCTGCACATCCGCACAGTCTGATCAGGATCCATGCTGTTCCCTTACCAACCTCATAACAAGTACAGAAACTGATAGCGAACAGCATGGATCCTGATCAGACTACGTGGATGCGCAGGCTGGCATGGATCCATGCTGGTCGCAAACGCACTATGTTGGCTTTGTCATGGCTTGGCTTAATTGAGTTTAGCCTTACAGGAACATTAGGTGATAAGCCTTTGCCATTATTATAGAATAAGGCCAGCTTGCACTTTTGTGAAGTCTGACCATTCTCTATACTGTTGACTGACTTTAAATTTTAAATTTTCATTTTGATATCCCCGAAATTGATAATGAACAGATCCAAAAATGAAAGCTGGACAAGTCCATTTAAGAAATTAAGCAGATAAAACCTTTAAATTAGTTCAGTTATTAGAATTAGAGAGATAGGTACATGTGGATAGTTTTCAGAATGTTAAAACAAGTTCTGGTAAATAAATCCTAAGTCTCCTATATTTGTAAAAAAAACTGTTAGAGAGCAACAGGGAGGAAGAGAGAAAGTTCTCGGCATGCCAGAATGAATTTTAGGAATTAATTTCAGTAATTTTTTGCTCGGCAGTTTTATTTTGTATTACAATACATGGTTATGATATGTTTATAATAACATTATATTAAAGAAATTAAAGTGATCAATGATTTTAATTAAACCATTAGGGGCCAAAAAAATCATATTTTGTTATTTTATCAATGCATATTAACTTAAAAGGTATGGTATATGTTTTTTCTTGTTCTGTTACAGGAGGAGCTTCAAGAAGAGGATCTGCCTAAAACTGATAGCAAGGGAAAAATGATGACTACACAAAAGTTTGAAAGTGAAATTGAAAACTTACGTGATGAGATTAGAATGGGACTTCTGGAATTACAAAAACAACAAAATCATATGATGCAAAAGTTTAAACAAGACATGAAAATGGTGAAATCTCTGATATTAGATTTGTCGGGGCAGGGTTCAGGAGGTCAGGGTGGAGATGGGGGCGGAGTTGGGGGTGGAAATGGAGGTGGAATGGGGATGGGTCCAGGGCAGTACATGCAGCCTGCAGATATAGTGACAGCAGATGGAATGATGATGCTACCAGGGTATTACCAGCAGATGGCACCTGGTGTTGTGGTGTCATCTCAAGAGTAAGTTGAGGTTTGAATTTTTTACCACCAAAGCCTTAGCGCACCTGATTTTTGTTAAAACATTTCAAAACTGGCTTCTTTTTTTTTCAAACCTACATATCATATTAGTTCATTATATGGATTAAGCAGCTTAAGATATAACGGGTAAAGTCCCTGATTCTATGTTGTCTTGTAATGTTATCTCATCTTGCAACTCAGTTTTCATGATAAAATTTCTTTAAACCAGTAGCTTCTTATTATATAATTGACATTTTAAGATATATTTATATTTTTGTAGTACCACCCCTAGACCACACACTGGAAAGAAAAAGAAGAGAAAACAGAAAATGGCAGCCGGGGAAGTTGCTGATCAATTGGTTCATGTAGAAGACCAAAGTCCTGTCCGTCCCAGGTCAGCTGGTACTGGTAAGTAACTTTCTGTTCTACTCACCTAAGCTGCATTGTTGGCATATCACTTTGTTTAAAGTTTTACATGCAACTTCCTGTATAACTCCATATCTCAGTATTCAGTAAAGATTTTTGCTTGAAATTTTTGTCTTTGAGGTCAGTGCCCAGCTTCTACAAATTTAGCTTGGATTTTGACTGAACTGTGACCCTTTGTGAACTTAACGGGTAAAAATTTTGGTTGCCTTATAAGTCTTCAAAACTACTGAAGGTGTTCACTTGAAGGCTTGACATAATATATCTTTGGGTTTATTTACAAGACCTATAACCTGGTCTTGTATTTTGAATGAAATCTTCCTTTTTGTGAATTTCTACATTATTCAGACCCCTTTGTTCTATTAATAAGCACTGAGAATAGACAAGCAAACAGGGAGCACACTGGCAGCTTTTGTTTTCTAATTAAACTGATTGGAAGATTTGCTTGAATTCCATTTTATTCAAAATGTTTGAAGTTGGGTTGTTTTTTTCCCCTGGCATTTAGTTGAGCGGAGCATTTACTTGTTTTTTGAGATAATCTAACATGACTTTAAACAGTAATTTCATGATGTCCTTCATATTATAGGTATATTTGCTCCAAGCCCATCTCTACAAGAACCAATAGTTGAAGTTTCTACGCAAGGTGATTTTTCAACAGATGATATATTTAGTACAGACGTACTACCACGATCTGTAAGTATAAATTGTAAATTGTCCTCTGAGTGAAATAATGGTATCAGCATCTTAATTATTAAAGATCTTAATTATTAAAGATAAATTTTGATTGGGTTTTACTTCACACCAACACAATATAGGTCAAATAGCTTCTTTACAGCTTTACTGGTGGAGGAAGACCCCTGGTGCCCCTCTGTGGTTTATTTTAAGCACAAATCAAGTCCAGTTGTGCATATCATAAGCATTTTCAAGCTCTATGACTTTTGCTAGAGTTGTGGCCCTTATTTTTTTTAGATTGATAATTATTACTTTTTCCATATCACAGAAAAACACCCAAACACCCATACAGTCAATTTACAATTCCAACAAATTGTCCAATCATCCTTCAATACAACTGCTGAACTGGCTTGTACTTTTTGGCAATGATTGAAAAAAATAATGATTTTCAAAACCTATAATGTATACCGGTATATGTGTACACTTTTAGCCATGTTTGTTAAGATAATAATCATTGTATGAAATTTATTATTTCAGGCATATGACGCTGATCATTCAACAGCCTGATTTCACAGCAAAGTTTAACAGACTGGTGCAAAACTGTCTCCATTATATATAGACTATAGAATTAATAGACTGGCAAACATCATGTCATACATGTCATAAAGTTAAAATATATGATATCATAAAGTTGAATAATTATGACATTGTAAAGTTAAATATGGCATCATAAAGTATAACTTTTGTCATCATAAGTCAAATATGTCATCATAAAGTCAAAAATATGACATAATAAATTCAAAAATATGACATCATGAACTTAAATATGGCATCATAAAGTTAAATATGGCATCATAAAGTCAAAAATACGACATTATAAATTCAGAAATATGACATCAAGTCATCATAATGTCAAATATGACATCATAAAGTTAAAAAAAAGACATGATAAAATGACAAAATGTAACATGACATTGTAACAATTTAAATGTTACTTTAAAATTTGTAATAATATAACATCATATCAAAACATAATATGACAACATAAAGTTGCAATATTTTATGACAACAACAAGATATTGCATAACATAATATGATTGGTTTAGTTGCTTCCAATGCACATACAGAATTTTTTTGCATTTTTTGGAAGTGAATTAAATTTTTTTTTGTCTGTGTAGGAAAGATTTGTTTTGGACAAAACAAAAAAGTTTTTTTGCCAAAAGAAATACAAAAAACGACAACAGAATTTAAATCAGTATCAGGTTGACATGTTGCCATGGTTGTGTCAGATATTATATAGCGACTGTGATATGAATTTATTTTTTACTTCTATTTATATTTATTATGAAAATGTCCTGCTAGACAATAGATAGTCCCATTTTTTGTAAATAATTAATATATATTTATATTTCTTAGCTGAGCTTTAAAAGTATTTTTTTAGCTTGTCTGTTGTGAAGAAAAAGTCAAGCTATTGTGATCACTGCATTGTCCTTGTCGTTGTTGTTGTGCAAAAACTTTATATTGTAGCCAATTATTCAAACATTTTAAAGATATTAACATGAAATTTGGTATACTTGCTTATCATGACAAGGTGCAGTTGTTAGACAAGGGGCACAATTCTGAGATTTTTTTTTTTTGAGTAATGCACCTTTTTAACTGAGACTTTTTAACAGATGAGCGTAAACACCGTATGCAGTACTCTTGTTTTTTTGTAATGCTTGCCTCTTGTGAGACTGATGTAGGTGTCAAAAAGTGATCTATTTTACTTGTATCTAGAATTGTTTGTATGTGCAATTATTATGTATAAATGATTTTATATGCTTATAAGTTAATATCACCTTACAATAAATTAGGGTTTTATTTCTGGAATCAGGGTCAGGTGACCCTTGCCTTAAATGAAAGTCCAGTTTTAATTTTTTCTTCTAAATTTTTACATACCTCCAAAGTAGATCTTACCATTATTGTCAATTTTTATTAATAAAATGAGAGTACTTTTTTATAAATTGTTACATTTTTTTGTAAATGCGATGACTTTTATTTAAAAATAGAACTTGCTCAAGCTTTTTTATACAATTATACATTATAATTAGAAAGTGATTTATATATGGAAAGTTATTTTTGAGTGAGCTTTCCTAAAATATATTTATATTTTAAGAAGTGATAATCATTAATTTTGTCTTAGTTATAGAGTATAGAAAATTGCTATGTCCTCAACTTATTATAATTGTTAACAATATGTGCTCACCATGCATCAATGCTTTAAGGCACACAATTCAATAGACTGCAATTTAGTTTTCTGTCACCTAACTACAACATTATAATTAGTAGCATAAGACCTTTTCCAAAGTTGTTTTTGTGAGTTTCATTTTGATACAAAATTGATATAATGAGCCGCGTCATGACAAAACCAACATAATGGGTTTGCGACCAGCATGGATTCAGACCAGCCTGCGCATCTGCGCAGTCTGATCAGGATCTATGCTGTTCGCTTACCAACTCTATTACAAGTAGAGAAACTGATAGCGATAGCATGGATCCTGATCAGACTGCGCGGATGCGCAGGCTGGTCTGGATCCATGCTGGTCGCAAACGCACTATGTTGGTTTTGTCGTGACGCGGCTCATATCTTCATAATCAACCTTGAGATGTTTAACCATTTTATTAGAACGATTTCTCAAAAATCTAAAAAAAATAATTTAAAAAATAAATTACTCACTATCAGTGTTAGGACTCATTTCAAAGGGCATTTAATTAACAATTACACAACGCTTTTTAGCTCGACTATTCGATAAGAATAAGTAGAGCTATTGCAGTCACCCGAGCGTCGGCGTCGGCGTAACCACTTATGTTAAAGTTTTTGTAATAGTTCAAATATTTTCAAAGTCCATTGACATATGGCTTTGAAACTTTGCACACTTGTTCACCATCATGACCCCAACCTGTAGACAGGAGGAGGTAACTCTATCAAGCATTTTGACAGAATTATGCCCCTTTTTCGACTTAGAATTTACGTTAAAGTTTTTTGTAATAGTTCAAATATTTTCAAAGTCCATTGACATATGGCTTTGAAACTTTGCACACTTGTTCACCATCATGACCCCAACCTGTAGACAGGAGGAGGTAACTCTATCAAGTATTTTGACAGAATTATGCCCCTTTTTCGACTTAGAATTTACGTTAAAGTTTTTGTAATAGTTCAAATATTTTCAAAAGTCCATAGACATATGGCTTTGAAACTTTGCACACTTGTTCAACATCATGACCCAACCTGTAGACAGCAGGAGGTAACTCTATTAAGCATTTTGACAGAATTATGCCCCTTTTTCGACTTAGAATTTACGTTAAAGTTTTTGTAATAGTTCAAATATTTTCAGAGTCCATTGACATATGGCTTTGAAACTTTGCACACTTGTTCAACATCATGACCCCAACCTGTAAACAGGAGGAGGTAACTCTATCAAGCATTTTGACAGAATTATGCCCCTTTTTCGACTTAGAATTTACGTTAAAGTTTTTGTAATAGTTCAAATATTTTCAAAGTCCATTGACATATGGCTTTGAAACTTTGCACACTTGTTCACCATCATGACCCCAACCTGTAAACAGGAGGAGGTAACTGTATCAGGCATTTTTTTTACTATCAAGCACTAAGAATAGTCGAGCATGCTGTCCTACCGACAGCTCTTGTTACTATGGTAAATGTATGCTTATTGTATAATTTGAAAAAACAACATATTTACAAAAAATTTATAAAAAACTTTTATCTATAATTTTTAGCGAGGCTTTTTTTGATAATTTTACTTTATATTTTGATATAATTATTATATAGTAGCTTCACTTGCTAAAAAATGTTTCTAAGATGTATCTTTGATGAAGGTTTTGCATTTTGCTGAAAATCCTTTTTATGCTTATATTGAAAAAAAGATGGCTTCAGTTAAGAAGCTAATATTGATTTATGTTTACTTATATAGTGCCTCATACAGTCAGTATTTATCTATACATTCTTCATAAAAATATTTTGATTATTTTCAGATTTTAGTAAAATAAATACTATATTATCATTTCTCAGTGATGCTGAAAAATACTACTAATGATGACCCACATCCAATATTGTATTGGTTTTGGATTACCCACTATCAATATTGTATTGGTTTTGGATTACCCACTATCAATATTGTATTGGTTTTTGGATTACCCACTATCAATATTGTATTGCTTTTTGGATTACCCACTATCAATATTGTATTGGTTTTTGGATTACCCACTATCAATATTGTATTGGTTTTGGATTACCCACTATCAATATTGTAATATATTTTAGGTGCCCTACTACCAATGTTGTTCAAGTGACACTGGTTTATCAAAAAGTGTCTTCTCTAGAAGGCAAAGTCTTTTTTTGTTAAGATATTTGTGTAACATGTATTCTTATGAGCAATGCAGTGCCATGATGGCCCTCTTGTTTTTTCCCTTCTTTGGAAAAGTTAAAAAATTGTCTCCCTTTATCTTCAAAATAATGTTATTTTTTATCTGCTGCGGCGAAACTCTTTTATCAATAAAACACCTTTCACAAAGTGTTTTAAGTGTCCTGTCATAGAAAAAAATGTTATTTTTGTTATTGCTACATCATAAAAGTATATAAAATAAAATAGAATAGTATTTTAATTGTTTGTGTTATCCTGACTTTCATCTTACATTTATAAAAGCCAATTGCTATTATGTAATTATTAACGTTACATATGAATATGGCGGAGATTGAATTACAGTTATACAGTTTGATTCCCAGACAGTAACTTTTGTTGTGATTGATCATCAAATCCTTTCTATGGTCATTCGCACTTAAATACATCTGCTCTGGCATGTACAGAGGTTATCAGTTCCTTGCGAAAGTGAAGCTAACTAGTACTGGTAAACTGCTTGCCCAGGAAAGATGCAGTGGCTGAACAGTGCTCTGGTATATTCAATATGGCTTAGTGAAAACTACCAGCACCCCCATCAAAATCTTGGAGACATGGTAATACACATGTAGTGACAACTGTTGACATGTGGTTTATTTTAAACAAATACATGTAGTGACAATGTAAGTTTACGTGGTAGTCAAATGATAATCTTTTGTGAAGTCCATTAAAGTGGTCCTTTAAATAAGTTTCGATTACATTTCTATTGTTGTACACGTAATATTATTATTCTAGGGAGGACGTTGTTCATAGATCACTGAAAATTAGCTTGAGAGAATCAAATAAGTCCATGTAAGACGGGAGATGAACTGTCCAATGCTTGACAAGTTGCGTTTGTCTGTTCTTAGCCCTATATACGTGTGCTGTGTCTTACATTATGACAATATATACACGATTATATTTCATGTTATCGCAAGAAAGGTTAAAGTTAAAATATAATTATACGCTCCTATGAAGGGTACAACGATCGGATGTAACACGTAATAGCAGGACAGGGTACATTGAATTGTATAGGCTCACAAGACAGGATACAGTGACTTTGTGTATGTTCTGGTTATGCATTCTTTCGTAATCAATCACAGCCCGAGGCGTGGCGGAAAGGTTAAAGTTGTCAACATTTAACCACTTTCATTTAACCGCACTTTGTGTTCGAATCCAGCCAGGGACTTTCGATTCTTTCATGTGAGGAAGCTATCTAGTTAGCCTATGGAACATAAGAAGTTCTACTCGGGTACCCGCTCGGGCCAGATATAATGCACGGAGGGGCGTGTGAGGTCTTCCTCTACCAGTAAAGCTGGAAAGTCGCATGTGTTGATGCGACGTAAAACCTAGCATGAGTGGCCAGGGCGGGGGCGTATGTTTATTTTAATTTATTTTGATGTGATCAAACTTTTATTGCTGCTTAGGCAACGATACATCAGTCACTACATTCGACTCCATTTAT